TTTAAGTAATGCCCCGAGTAAGAACTAGGGAAGCAAACGGCACAGGAATGCAAGAAGGTGCTAATTGCGCATTGTATAATCCATCCATCCCATTGGTTAAAACATGAAAATCTGCTATAATTTCCCAAGTTAGCGAATTTTCTAATATTATATTTAATGTTGTTTTTCGCTTTCATGAAAGCTTTCTTTAGCTTCAATATTAAGGCAATTCTACGTGGGGAACATTGCAAATTAAAAGCATCTTTTAGCTATTGTTTTGAGTGCTTATGATTGGATAAGAGCTTTTAATACAAAAGAAACTTTGTTTCAAAATAGAGTTTATCCACATTTTATTTCAAAAATGTGTTACCTACAGATGGATACATAATCAGTGTGAAAACCAAGACATTCGTACATGGGGAACTTGCTATGCCGCACAACAATAGAGAGCTCCCTAGTTCTTAATACGCGCATTGTTACTTAATGTCATGAAACCATTTTTAAGCGAAGGAAGGTCTGCATGGCTTCCTTGACTCTAAATAACATCTGCTAATAAACGTCTTGATCGATACACTTAAAGCTGATGAGATTGTGTCTTTGGCCGTTGAGGTTGTTCTYTTTGACATGTTTGGTAACTGCTGAAGTTAAAGAAGTAGCTGAAATAGCATCTGAAATAATGACATAGTACATCATAGGACAATATGCTGCAAACAATCATAGTTCTGATAGAGTAAAAAACGGCACTTTGTGATAGCATCTTCTTAATGCCCGCTTCCCAAATGATGAATGATCCATTTCATGTTATTAACCAATTACATTTTTTTAACAAGGATCATTTGTGGCACTCTTGGTTTGCTCTGTTTAGTTGGCACATTATACGACTTGCTTGAAACTCCTTTGCCGTCTACAAAGCCAAACGAAGAAAATGTTGTACAGAATGACACAGTCGTTCATGAAGACACTTCATTCTACAGTGACAGAGATGCACTAGTAAATGATGGCATGAGTCCTTCAGCTGAGATYGTACCAAGAAAAAAACGTAAGTAATTTTTTAGGCGACTGAAATTGTTCATCGCAAAAGGATAGAAAACTTACATTCGTTCCGTATATTTCCCCTTTCCATATCAAACACTTGCTTTACCGTCTTTCTCTATCTTCCAATTGAAATAGCTATCCATACTTCACGCTCTAAGAACGCCTAGTTTATTCAAAATATGCAAAAAATGTTTTTAATGCTGCGTATATTCCAAGAGTCAG